GAAAGCAATATTATATTTTGGTCGTAATTCTTCGTTTATAACTGAAGGAGAATAAAGTGGACTTGTACATAAACGGACATGATCACTGCTTGCAACACATTGGTTCAGACGGGTAAAAACTTGCATCTTCTCTTAATCCAACTTAACTTTGTATTGAGTTATAACCAAAATATTTTAATTAGTTTGGCTTAAATTGGTTTCATTTGTTTTTAGTTTGAATTCATTTCGGGTTTTAGACTAGAATAAATCTAACTAAATATTAGTAGATCATCATTGGTTTCATTTGCTTTTTAGTTGAGTTCATTTCGGGTTTTAGACTTGAGTAAATCTAACTAAAAATAAGTACATCATTGGTTTCACTTGCTTTTTAGTTTGAATTCATTTGGGGTTTTAAACTAGAGAAAATCTAATTAAAAATAAATAGATCATCATTTCTATGACAGTTAAATTCATAGAGTATCACCGATATAAAATAATTTTCTTTCATATTGGTTTAGATTGAGTTTAGATGTTTACTTCAACAAAAGCAAAACTAAATATTTATATTTTTTGAATTGGTGAAGTGAGATTCAATTTCTAACAAGTGGAGGAGGATCAAAGGCATGGAGAGGAGAAACTCAGCCATGGGATCCAAAAGAACTCAAACTATATTACGATGGACAAGGTTTCATGTCTTTTCACATCACTCACTCTCAAGCTAAATTCGTATACTACGATGTTTTCGGCAATGTTCTTCACCAATCCAAATGGTGCAAAGATTCCAAAACATTTGGTCTCTTTTAGATTTGTTTATTTACAAGAGAATTATTGATGTACTAGTATTGACGAATGATTTCGAATGTTGTGATGAATAGTGAGACGACCTTATGATCCATGTATACATTTTTGATATTTTCAAATAATAAACGATTGTTATTTACCATTACTCTTATATATTTTTGTTAATCGTGTAATCTCCAATTCTATGGTTTGTTGTTCTCTTATGTTTGCGCAAAGAACGAAACACCATGGTTTTTCATGATATGCAAATGCATGGTCAAGATTCACAATACTTCAAATTAGAATTCATTTTAAGATAATCTTTGTTTTTTTTTTCAGTGTTTGTGTTATGTTGTGTTGATATATATAATTTATTTTATCCAAATATGTAAATTATTTAGATCCATTATCTATATAATTGAGAAATTTAGGAACTCCAAGCTTTCAATCTTTACTTTGTGTGTAAACTTTAATTTCATTAATTTAAACTTTCGTCTCAAAAATTATATTACTGAAATCCGTGAGCCGAGAATGTCCATCTTCAATGCGTCTTTAGATTCATTGGAATAGAAGGAAATCATTGTGCGGATCAAATTGCCAAAGAGACTTTCATTATTTAGTTCTATACCTATCATGTATGTACTATGTAGTACCCCAATGTGGTAACGTCCATTGGTGGATCATGAGAAACTCATTGTTAGTCTCTGGTTTCTTAATAAAAAAATTGTTTGTTTGGGTGAAAAATAAAAATTGCAATACTATTACCAAGTTTTGTTTGGACCGTATGGGCCTCTAAAGCCTTATTACACATTGGCGCAATATTGAAGGCCACATAAATCATCAAGTCATAGACAATTAAACTCCCCTAAGAAGTCGTTTTATCTACAATTTTGCCATCACCAATGTCCGTCCACACACAGTTCAAAGAGGTGTAGAAGAAAAAACAGAGGAAAACAGAGAGAATGGTGGTGTTAGGATTACAGTCTCTTAATTGGTACAGACATGGAGGATTCATAGAGAAGAGCAAGAACAAGAAACATCTGACGGGTATTGTCAGAGCCATTGAAAGAGACGATTCTTCTTCACAGAGATTCGAAATCGATAGAGATAAAGCTAGAGAAGCTCTGAAACAACTTGATCAACAAATCGAATCTCAAGCCGATGAAAAAAAACCAAGAATCTTCGTCAAGTCAGATGTTGTTAGAGATCCATCAAATGATCCATTCATGTTTCAAGAACCACCTGAAATCTCAGGATCATTCCTCACAACTGTAGCTTTTATTCTCTTAGGTCTTACTTTGTTCTACAATATTTTGTTCATTTCAGTGATAAAACCATCAATGGATGGACCAGAATCGGTACCTGAAGAAAACAGAGTAGCTATGTCTGATTCTGATATTGTCCAGTTTCCACTTTCTTCTTTACCTGAAGAAACATTCAAACAATAAAACTATTTAGTGTTACATTTACATAATTTCTTGTATATTTATTAATGTTCATATTTCTAATCAAGGAAGACATAAACTTACACAAAATTGGAGTCTATATACTTAAAAGAGACATTGTTTGCTTTTCGAGCTGCGACAGCCTAAATGAAGTGTCTGTATCCAATCTCAATCCAGCATCTTCAACTTCCTTACATATCTCTTTACACTTTTTCCACCGTCCGGAAGCGGTATAAACGCTAATCATATCGCGATAAATATCATACGTTGGTGAGAATCCAGCTTCGTTGAGTTTGGAGTAATATCTCATTGCTCTTCCCAAATCATTCAATGCCACAAATAGTTTAATGACTACTCTATAAGCTGGAAGATCAAGAAGACAGTTTGATTCCTCCATCTCCCAAACCACACTCATCGCCTCTCGATATTTCATTTCCGAATACCGGCTATGTATCATCATAGTGTACATCACAACGCTCGGTTCTCTGTTTGATCCTTTAAACCAGTCAAAGAGACATTCCACGAGCTCGAATCTTCCCAATTTCACACAGATCTTCATAACACTTGTGCAGTCTTGTTGGCTCAACCTCAAATCTTCTCTTTCTTTCAGGTCGTCGAGAAGAGCAACGACAAGATGGTACTTGTCAGGGTTTTTAGCTATTTCCAGAATCATCTTCACGTAAACACTCGAGTCAAGCATCCGATTGTTACTCTTCGCGATCAATATAAGCTTCCGAGCTAGATTCAGCCATCCACCTTCGATACATCCTTTGATCATTGCTTCGATAACATTCTTGCTAGCCAAACTATTATCGAATTTAAGCAGTTTCAGCTCGTGGTGCTTCGCCAAAACCTGGATAGTCGATGCAAGAATCCGGTCATCTGGAAACAAATGAGAATGCTTTTCCGCCCAACGATAAGTCTGTAAAGCTCTCTCAGGCAAACCCATGTGACCCAATTCTCGAATCGTCGTAGAAAGTGAACCTTTACGCAAGAAGCTAACCCATTTATTGAGAACAAGAGACACATCTGCATCAGAAGAAGGCAATCTTTTGATCTCTCTAGCTAAACCGATTAAAAAGCTCGGATCTTTCGACATAGAAGACGATGATGCAACTGATTTGATGTTCTTCTTCTTTGGAGTTGGAAGACCTAAAGGTCTTAACTTGTGAGGTTGAGGAAGTGGTAAAGGCCTAATTCGAATTATCGGTTTATCGGGTTTTTGAGGGATTCTTTTGATGAAAAGAGACGAAATCGCTTCGATTTCTTCTGGTTCCCAAACAATAGCATCATCTACAAACTCCTCTTCTAGTTCTTCTTGATCTTGTACTAATGATGGTTCACTAATCGGCTTCCTCAGAAACAAATTCACACCAAAATCTGGAGGAAGCTTGGTCCGGCGAGGATTACGGAGATTCTTAGTGAGTTTATTTCTTTGACTCGCGTTGACTTTTGTTACTCTGATGATTCCGACATTACTGGTCTGTTGAAGATTCATGTGGAAGCTAAATGACGAAAAGACAGGACAATGCATTATCATTTTCCTCTACGAAATTAGGGTTCTAATTCAGACTCGAATCCAGACTAATTCCGATCAAATCTAGCTCAATAACAGTTTCTAACAATCGAATCGAAGAACAACTAGGGTTTTAGAGATCGAACACAAACCTTAGAGAAAGGAGTAAGCTTTATCCAGAAGACGATGAAGAAGAAGCAACAATTTTTATTTTATTTTTAATAATCAAAT